TATGTGTCATGCTCAATTCCTCATCATATATTGTCAAACATAGAAGGCTAGGTGTGATGGTGAAACATTTGTCTGTTACACATTAGGATTCTTTGTATTCTGACTGACTCAATGGAACTCAATTCATACTGACTATTATGGTTGATATTAAATTATTCCTTTAGCCTCAGTCAGGAATATATGACTTCAGAAGCACATCTCCACTTCACCCTGTTCTGTGAAGTCGTTTTCACGTTTCTCTATGATTGTCAATAGACTTTCATCTCCTCCTTAAACGATGTCCTCCATATCATCCTCGGATCCACTCCAGCCTTGTCATTTCCCATTTAGGTTCCAGTGTGTGTGAGGTCATTCAACAGTCTCCTTAGCGTGTATATCCAGTCTTACTGCATTTCCTTCTGTAGATTTGTTGGGCAATAGGCTTCTGGTCGATTCATTCACACTATTCCTTGTTGCTCATCGTCTGTGAAATAGTGAACGTCTAAATTCTAATGCCTAATATTCCTCTAAGTGTTTGTCACTATTCTGTCGTTGTTTCTTCTTATGAATCCAATGCCCACCATACTTAGAGACTTCGTCAATGCTTCATCAGTAATTTTATTTATGAAAAGAATATTGGTGAGATTCTGACGGTCGACTACCGACGCCGGATCAAAACAGTCAAGTTTAGGAAATTTTACCTATGGAGCTGAAATGTTTCTAAGCTGTACAAAATCTCATCCAGCTGCTTCCTAGTTTATATAACTTCAGTTGATCTGATATTAGATACTTAAGCGCTGAAACCTGGCAGCGTTCTCATATACAGGAATACATGACTTCATGACGACTCTTTTAATGATTCATGGGCTCTAGAGACGAAAGTTCTTGAGAATCACTATGCGAAAATGTAAACAGTACACTGTATGTAATGGGAAGTCTTCTACTGTTTTCCTTAATTTAACCGATGTCCTTCAAGGTGCTGTTCTTTCTCCTTTTGTTTTCTTCCTGTTCACATGACTTGCGTCATTCTGATGAAGCCAGTTTTGTTAGGCATTCCAACAACATGACTGTTTTCATGCTGGTTCTTCCTCAATCACATTGTACCAAAATGAGTAGCTTTTTATCAGAAATCAGTTAGTGATCCTTGTCAGATGGTCTTGAGCTTATTCACTTCAAGTGTCAGGTTATTAATTTCACTTTCAGGCACAAGAACGATTTACATAAGCCGGTTGATTCCCATGATTCTCATATCATAAATGACAATGAATTTGAAACTAAATTGAGTAATAAACACATTGGATTATTTATGACTTTCCTGGTCTTTCTACATCATGTTAACTTCTTGAAAGATATTTCGTCTAACCTTCTAAGTAAGGAAGTTGAGACAGTCTGGTATCACTCAGTTGCTTCTTTTACAGTTTGTTAATTCTTGTAATATACCTGTTCTTCTTTACTGCTCTCGTCCGGTCTTGGCTGGACTACTTAAGAAAAACTTTATGACACTGAGAATGGCACTAGAAACTGTCAGTAGAGCAATTGGGATGTCGTCACATTATCTTGTAGATAGAAACGTGAACTCCTGCAAGAAAGTAGCCATTGTCATCTTGTTGGACTCTGCGTATACTGTTTATACTATCTCATAGTATCTCATTGGGGAAGGGATTTTGGAAGTAGTTGTAGAAGGCTTTGTGTTCAAATTGTGCGTCGGTGGCACAATGGTAGAATACTCGCCAACCATGCAGGTGGTTCAGCGTTCGATCCTCAGCCAACGACGCACCACTTTACTTCGCGAAGACGGTAACAAGACTGATAAAGATGGAAGGTTGGGCACGAGACTGGCAACCCCATGCCTTAATAATAAACACTGGTACTGAAACTTCAAGCCTCTAGTGTGAAGCCCTATTTTCCACTGGGAATGTAAAGGTATAAAAATTATGTACGGACACCTTATTTGACATGCACCTTATGTGATGAGAAAAGTATAAGGCATGAAACTTCTAACTTGCTGCGTCGGTGGCACAGTGGTTAGGACTCTCGTCGAGCATGCACATGGTCCGGGTTCGATCCCCTGCCGGCGCACACCCGATATCTATGGTATGCCTGAATTTGGGCAACCGATATCCATGCTGAAAATTCCACACTTGTACTGAAAATACGGTGTGGAATCAAGCTGTAAATCAAAAAAAAAAACACTAAATAAGCCTCCATTTTAATTCTTTCATGCATTAATCTATTGTTGTTAGTTTTCCCACTTCCATTTCAAACATTTACGATCATATTCTTATTGACATGATGATTATTTTTGAAAACTATGGCGGAATTACTTTTACTTTGTCATGCACCTTCGCCTATATCCTTTAATGACCCTAAACAAATTGCCTAGAAGCACAGTAGAAGCACTTTGGATGCAGCTGCCGTCTTATATCATAACATTGCTTCCAGTCTAGACAAGGGGGCTAAATTTGTTCGTTGTGCCTTCCGAGACTATACATCTGCTTTTGACTCGGTCCCTAGGGACATCTTAAAAAAACTTGCTGCAAGTCAAACAGAATGTTGGACAGCTAACCCGTTACATTCCTCTTTCTCAGAAAGAAAGCAGTACACCATGTATAAAGGGAAGTCTTCCACTTTTTTGCCTACTGAAGCTAGAGTCCCTAAAGGCTCTGTCCTTTCTGCTTTACTTTTTTCTTTCTTCTTACATGACTTGCCTCACTCTGATGAAATAAACTTTGTGAAGTACGCTAATGATTTAACGGTTAAAATGGCTGTTAACACCCAGCTAGATTGTACCAAAATAAATAGCTTCCTGTTGGGAGTCAGTAAATGGTCTGAGTCTAACGGCCTTAAACTGAATCTTTCTAAATGTCAAACTGTTAATTTCAGCTTAAGATGTAAACGACAGTTAAAAGAAGCCGTCGATTCTCATGACAGTTTTAAGATTGACGACAATGATATAGGAGTCAAATCAGAAATTAAGTATCTTGGACTTATTCTCTCTTCTGATCTCTCCTGATCTTCCCATGTCTCAGCGATCTCCAGTAAAATATTCCGCCTGACATTTTACATTAGGAAGTTAAACCGCTCGGGTATAACTCAACTGCTCTTCTTACAGTTCATAAACTCTTGCATCCTACCTATTCCTCTTTGTTGTTCACCCTTATTCTTTCCTGGTTTGTTTCAAAAGGACTATGTCGCAATTCTTAGAATGCTGAAGACTGTCAGTAGGGTGAGTGGTGTCCCAGTGGACCACCTAGTTAACGTCGTTGTTGATAGGCACTTGACCTCGTGCAATTAATTTGCTAGAGGGATTTTGTCTGACTTGCAGCATCCACTTTACCCTCAGCTTTCACCTTGCATCTCCTCAGGTAGAACAAGAAGTAACTTCAGGAAACTGTATGATCGTACGTCTAAGTATAAAAATTCTATGATACCATACTTGGCACGTATTTTATGTGATGAAAATAGTGTCAGGCAAGAATTATTATATGTGTAAAACTTGGGCACTGTGGTAGTAAGTAATTCCATATTAGTTTGTTTATTAGGTACATCACACAGTGAAACAGTATTATTTACTGGATGACGTTTCGAACAAAATTTTTATTGTTCATAATCATATCAGTTGTGATCACACGACTTTGACACTTGAGTTTTATAGTTTTCTTTGTTCTCTCCTATTTGTCGTATGGGTAGTAGAATTTTCCAGATATCGTGGACAGGTGATGAATCATTCCTATTACGTGTATTTGTAGTTGATTCGATAAACAAAGCTTCTGTTATCAATCTCTCCCTATACCCTGTGACATTAGATTTTAAAACTGTCATCCTATCCCATCCTATTGTATGGTTGTGTGTGACTGCATGTAGTACTATAGCTGAACTATTCTCAAGATTTCTTATCTTATTCGGGTCAATCAATCTAGATTTTGCTAAGTTCTTATGTTCAGCTAGTCTGACTGCTCTGTTCTACTAGTTTGACCTATGTATTTGACCTGACAATCATTTCACGCAGGGTATTAGATCAACTAAATTGTTCGTTTTAAAGGCTCTACAGGATCTAAGTGAATTTTAGATTTTTCCCGTCGATTGATTGAACCGAAGTGCTCGGTCTCAGGTTGACATGTCGGCTTCTTGAGCAGACGCTTCGACGATGTCTGGGCATTTAATTAGTATTTAATTGGTGGATGGTGACTAGCAGTGGAATCACTGAGAAATGCAGGTACATCCAGCTGACGAGTCCCAAACAGGATGGAATGCGCATCCTGGATTCCACTGCTAGTCACCATCCACCAATTAAATACTAATTAAATGCTCTACAGGATCCTTTAACCAACAAAGCTTGTTTCTAATTGATTTTGTGTGTGTGAATGCCATTTTTATTCCTGCCTTGTTAAGAATTCGGCGTGAGGCTTACAATGATTGTCAGGTCAAATACATAGGTCAAACTAGTGGAACAGCGGCAGTCAGACTAGCTGAACATAAGAACTTAGCAAAATCTAGATTGGTTGACCCGAATAAGATAAGAAATCTTGAGAATAGTTCAGCTATACTACTACATGCAGTCACACACAACCATAAAATAGGATGGGATAGGATGACAGTTCTAAAATCTAATGTCACAGGGTATAGGGAGAGATTGGTAGCAGAAGCTTTGTTTATCGAATCAACTACAAATACATGTAATAGGAACTGAGGTTATCAGTTTCTCGCATTTGATTAAAACATTTCTACTCACCTAGAAACAGCTTCATTTGACGTATCAGGTCCGCTGTGGATTTCCTAACCTGATTCATAACGGTGTCTAATGATTGCTTAATTTCCTCATATGGTTGTGTTTGTATGTGAGTATGGAATTTATCTGACAAGATTTGGCTGTATTTACGAGGCGTTTAATTATGGAATCGTTAACACACCGCCTGTTCACAGGTCTTTGTATTCGCCAACATTATCTGCATTGATCCAAACATAATCGGCTATCATAATAAAAACATTTCTGAAGAACTGGTAGGTGAATCATGCATGATTATAAAAAAGGATAGGTGCAAGTGAAAATGTTTTTCAAAATCAAATTAAAACTGAGAATGTAAAACATTTATTAGTCAGTTAGTTATATTAGGAGTAAAGGTCAGCTTTTGCATCGATTTGCGTGCAATGTACTTGTCATTTCGTTAGTTTGAATGACTCAAAAGGTCATTTTGAAGTGGTTAACTTGATCTTTTAATACATTGTCCAATATCAAATATGGTATTCCAATATTGATGGCTGACAGCAGAAGGATGAGCATCATATGCACACAGAATGCAGCCATGTAGTAATAGCCATCAAGTGTTCTGAACTGTGGTCTACCCAATGCTGCTTGACCACAAATTACAACAATCTAACAGACATTAAAGATGAAAAAAGGCAGAAGTGGAGCAAGTAATTGTCAGGAAATAATTTTGTATGAGATATTTCTCAACAATGAATACTGTAAAATACCTTCGCCTAAATTTGTTTTCAATTTAATACATTGGTCCACCCATCTCTGATCTACACAAATGCAATTAGTGGGCCCAGGTTAACCGATATCTGGAAGGTTGTGAACTGTTTTCATAACCATTTCTCATTTATTTTCAAGTGATGGTTTTCAAGTTTGATCATGATAGAATCACTGAAAATCGACTAGGAAGTATTGTAAAATACACTGCTTCGTCCTTGTTTGGCACTCTTCAGCACTACGTACCCATGAAGTTGTCAGGGGTCGAACGCAAGAGCATTAGATTATACGGTGATTTGTTGGTCGTTTAACCACTCGGCGATCGAATCTAATGGCCGGTCTATTGATTGGTATTTAATTAGATGATGGTTCTAGAGTCAGGTCGACTTCGTATAAGTCAATTTCGAAAGTGACTCAGAGTATCTGTTGCATTTTTAATATATTGATTATCATCCACCAATGAAGCGACTTTATTGAGTGACACGACACGCAAGAATGAATCACCTGAAGCTGATACCTTCTCATTTTATTCACTGATAATCACACACACTCAAAAGTTTATTTATGCATATACATATACTTTAGGTAACATGAATAGATAACTAAAATTGACTATCATCATAAAAGACGACTTACAGGGATTCCTTGTGCAGTCAATCCGATGCTGACAATTGCCAGTGCCAATTTATCCTAGAACAAGATTTGACAAGGCGTTAAGCGATTTCATGTAATAACACCAAGTGCTGTTAAGCACAAAATATACACAAACACATAATGGAGGAAATTTCTAGTTCAGGTGGATGATTTTGATGTAATTGTGTTCTCTGAGATGGATAGATGATTCGTGAAGCTTTCATTATCCTACTAGGCAACATTCTCATCATAGCGCATACTTCAATTTGAAGTGAGCTCTTAAAATTCTCCACGAGTTTATTAGTCAACCCCGCTGGTAACCATGAACGTAAAATTGGTTGTTTTTGTGTGTTTTCACACCCTCTAGGCTACTTGCCTTTAGTGAAAAGCCTTCAAATAGATGACGAAGAAGTAATGGTCTCCTTCAACGTCACATCATTAAATACATCAGATGGACAGAAACTAGCAAACGAAACTGTGGAGCAGTAACTCAGCAACGAAGAACACCTTCCACAACAATCAAAAAAGGCGATACACAGGTTGGATGGAATGCATAAACCTGTACCTGACAACGTACTTCTAATTCAACGGCCAAATATAAGTACCAGTCTAAGGAACACACAGGAGTTCGCTCATATCAGGTTTGGTCGTAGAAGCTGTGATACAAAGATAAGAAAACATAATCCTACCAAAAATCAAACCCAAAATTTGGATACGTTGGGTAGGTAACACATTTGTGACAATCAGAAGAAACAACTTGGTCAAGAATTACCACTTAATAAACAACATCGTAAATGACATCAGGTTCACGGGATAAGAGGCATCCGGGGACAAAATTCTACCAACCGAACGTTCACAGAAAATCAAGCTTACAGAAAACCAACTCACGAAGGACAAATACTCAATTATGACACCAACAACGCAGTAGCACACAAAAAGAGGTGAATACGACCATTATTCAAGAGAATCAGGGAGAATTTCAGCACTCATAACCTGAGAAAAAAATATCTCATGGACATCTTCCGAAGGAACGGATATCCACGGAATTTCATCAAAAAGCCAATCTAACATATCAAAGTCTCTCAAGGAAAGCACAGAGAAAATCGCCATACCATATTAACGGACATCTTAGAAATCAATGCAAGACTCTTCAAACCTTTAGGATTTGACGTCGCACACAAATCAACTAAATCAATCAATTCGTCTGGCTCAGTGTCAACCAAAAGACTCAACAGCGACAGGTGATGAAACCAACATCGGTTGCAAAAACACTATATTTTTCAAAGTAGACGTCTATTTTGTCTTCGTATCCATGATCATAAGCTAGCCATCAAAAGACATGACATCCACTCAATCGCTCATATCGCTGCATACAGAAAACCACGAAGATCAATTTAACTGGGACAACGTTCGAATATTAGACAGTGGAAATACCAGGAATTCAAGAGAATTTTTCGAAGCCTGGTATTCCAGTGAATCGTCAAACAATAGATACATTGACATCGACAAGATTTCCCAGTCCATGAGAACGAGATCTCACACACAAAGGTTCAAAGTTCAGGTCAAGGAAGCAATCAATACCAATACACGCAAGCTAGAGGATGAGAAAATACACTGAAACAACCAATCACGTCCAAGGTCAGGTTACCAGGAGAGGTTACCAATAAACTCGTGGAGAAATTGAAGAGCTCCATTCAAATTGAAGTATTCGCTGAGGATGCTGCGTAGTAGGGCTATGCAAGCTTTGCAAATAAACCACCCAGCTCAGAGAACGCAATTACAGCAAAATTCACAAATATATTGGGGTCAAAACTGTTTGATGGTGTTGTTAAAGGTGTACTGGTTAGTGACTTAAGGTTAGAATCTGACCATGACCTGCAGCTGACATATGCTCAGGTACAGAGCGGGGTTAATGCATCCCTGACAGTTGATTCGATTTCGCCCTAGACCGGAATTTCCACTTTACCAATCGTCATTACCCAATACGTGTGTATGCTTGCTTAAATCCCTGAGCTGCTTAAATCACCCATCCATCCCAATGCCTTGTATTTTTCTCCGCTTCATATTGTCTTAATTACCCAAACACCACTGTGAATCACGGTCTGTACATGTGCATATTTTCAAGTCAGCTTTTAACTATCCCTATGAATCTTATCGAAGGAAATGAATGAAAGGGATCGTGGAAGGAACAACACTGCTTCAGGTGATACACTATCAGTTTAAATTATGGGGTTCTATAGGGATTTAGGTGAATTTCAGTATAGATATCTTTGCAGATCAACTTCATTTGGATAGATCACTAAAAAGCTGGGGATACTGGACAGCTGTCTCGTCTTAGTCCGGGATTATTCAACAGTCGACATCTACGGCCCCATCAGGTATGGAACGCAGGAAATTCAGGCTGTGAGACCAAGCTTGGTGACCATACAGAAATTTGGGCCTGAATCCAGTGATCCGTGATTTCTGACTGTCTGAACTCGTGATACAATGTAACCCCCAACTGAAGCCTTCGAATCACACAGAATTCACGTTGACATGATAGAACCCACTGGTCAGGACTTCTCAGTTCAGCTTCAGAATATCCATCCAGTAGGCATCAATGAGCTGGAGACTAATATTGAAATTGTGGGTATAGTTCAGTTTCATAGGTCAATAAATTCCGACTCAAGTGTCCGTGTATACAGAGAGCTTCGTATCATAATCTTATAGTTCCCGTTTTAATCCCTGGCGTCGACTTGATTCTTCGCTGCAGGAAAGTCGCAGACTAAGATGGAATAGATGCCCAGTGTTCCCTGGTTTTCATTGGTCTCTGAATGACTGAATTCTTGACGAAATCAACATTGAAATATCGGCGAATATTCGGTTATGTTAAGATTCTGCATAAGGTTAAATAATCATACAGTGAAACAAGCTTAAGAATCTGTATTGTGTTCTGGTTTAGGACTCTTCAGTGGTACGCACTCATTGAGATTCGAACCCGGAACCTTAAGATCAAAAGGCTGGGAATGTTGACCATTCAGCCATTGAGTCTCAATGCCGGTGTCAACTAGTGAGCCGACCTGTAACCAATCTAATTTCTGCAAACCAACACTTAATATTTGCATTAAATATTTCTGAAACTGGTTTGATATTCAAGTATTGGTTTGCAGGGGTTTGACTGATTGGTTACAGAAATTCCTCATGATCTGACACTGGTTAGAGAAGTAAGATGAAACAGCTGTACAGCACTACCAGGTAGGTTTCCCAATGGTTCTCTAACCGATACCAGTTCATGATGAAATCTTGTAACCAATCATTCAGATGCCTACAAACCAATACTTGAATATCAATGAGATACTCACTAGCGATTGGCCCTATTCAGGTAGGTAGTAGTTACCTGACATCTTAGTGGAAAGTCGTGACCAGTAGAGTGCAGCAAGTCGGGTGTGAGGACAAATACTCGCCGACAATCACATTGGCTAGTGTTTGCGCTATGTCATGAATTGGCAGAGAAGTTGAAATTCATGGTTGAGGTCCCAGTTGCTTAATGGTTCACAAGCTCGGCTTATAACCAGATCGTCCTGGGTTCAAACTACAGTGAGTGAGTACTGTGAGCAGTCCCAAGCTAGGACGAAACAGCTGTTCAGTACTCCCTGTTGGTTCTACACTGGTTTTCTAACCGATGTTAGCTCATGATGAAATCCTCTAACCAATCTGGTTTGAGTTGTCACTCATTCCCTTATCTCTTTGGAAAAATTAACTCAAATAAAAACTTCTGAGGACATTAGAGGGTATTGAGGTGGTTTTGGGTTTTTCAGTTGAATTAAGCAGTTTTGGAGTTAACTTTGGGGAGTTTCAGTGATTCTAAGGCTTTGGCGACGTGTCTTGATTCGACAAACATTTTACATTGTGTCGCCTCAAAAACTCTCATATCTGCCGAAAATGTTTTATGTGAGTAATTAGCTAAATCCAGCTTGGTAAATAATAAATTATGAGCTGAACCATTGGAAAACCAGGGAGTACTGGATAGCTGTTTCGTGCTAGTTCGGAACTCTTGACGGTTCGCATCCAACAGGGTTCCAGCTCAGGACCTTCTGATTACTAACGGAAAAAGTGTAATTATTTCATTTTATCTTAAATTTATTACAAACAAAAATATTTCACATTTTCATTGTACACTTACAAGTCCTGTCCCATAGTGGACACCAATTGAAACAGCTAAAGTTACAACCATGACAGTAACACAGTATATGAAAACTGCAGTGTAACCACGGTGCAGACCAATTGGTAGGGTTGCGCCGATTGTGATTAGTAAGATGTACAACACCACAGCTGATCCCGTCACTATAAGTCCCCATTTCAGCGTTTTCCCAATGAACGGTATTCCTGTGAGTACAGATGCTAATATCGTCTATAAAATAGAAAATCATAATGTTTGAGTATACTAGAAAATTATTTTGACCAAAAAATATTCTGTCTGTCACCTTATCATTAATTGTCATTCTTGATGTGCCTCAGGGGGACATCTGGCTTCAAGCGTTTTGGACGTTTTGCGAAGCTTTCATCAACCTACTAGGTGACATCCTCGCCTCAGTGCATACTTCAATTTGAAGTTAGCTTTTAGACTTCTCCACGAGTTTATTATCCATCAATCCTGGTGACCTTGAACGTCGTGATCGGTTGTTTTTGTGTGTTTTCACAACCTCTAGGCTACTTGTATTGAAACTGATTGTTTCCTTGACTTGAACTTCGACCCTTTGTGTATGTGAGGTTTCCTTCTTATCGATTGGTAAATTTTGTCTATTTCGATGTGTCTATGGATTGACAATTCACTGGTATACCAGTTAGGCTTCTAAAAATTCTCTGCCATTCTTGGTATTTCCTCTGTCTAATATTTGAACGTTGTCCCAGGTGAATTGATGTCCATGGTTGTTTGTATGTAGTGATATGAGAGAGTGGATGTCATGTCACCGCATTTGACAACCGATAATAAATAATCCTCACACACAAATTTCCAGCCAAAGAAGTAATCAGTTCTAATACAAGTAGTCTACAGGGTACAGAAACAAACGAAAACAACCAACCACATTTAAGGTCAGGTCATCAAGAGAGGTGACTTATAAACACTCTTGGAGAAATCTAAAAGCTCACTTCAACGGATTGAAGTATCCGCTGAAGATTTCGCCTAGTAGGGTGATGAAAGGTTTGCAAATAAACTATCCAGCTCAGAGGACACAACCACATCAAAATCATGCAACTGAGCTACAAATCTTCTCCATCATATCTATAGGGTAAGGTTGCTAGACTCACCCTCAGCCTTCCCTCTGTCCCAGAGTTACTATCTCCTGGCAAGCTGAGTGATGCTCCAAAAGGGTACCACACAGGAATCAAATCCGGATCTTCCGTGTGACTGCCGATCATTTCATCACCGAACCACTGACACAATCTCCATATCATGGCGCGATACCTTGAATGAAGTGTTGGTCGGGAGCGATTCTATGCGAGCACTTATGACATTTAATCAGCCTTCATCATGATTGTTGTCCTAATACGGTGTCACATTCTGTTTTAGTGAATAATGCCTCAGATGTCATCCAGAATTGTTAGCCACATTAAAACGGAATATTTTGATATGAATAGGGTATTTCAGTGAATTGAAACATTCCTTGGAATATAACATAGTTCTACACTCGATATATATCTAAAAAGCCGGCTGATATCTCAAAATTAATTTCATGCAAGTGTATTGCCAGTTTCGATTGTATGAATGTCAGTTATACGCTGATACTGTGGATTTTTGACTTTAAAAATGATTGCGAATTGGAATGACTAATCCTTCACAATCTAGAACTCGATTGTTGTAAATTTCTAACATCAACTAATTTATGAATTATCAAAATCTTATTGGTTTACTTTCCCGCTGACTGATTGAACCAAAATTCTTGACATCATGTTGAGATACCATCTCCTTGAGCACAGATGCTTTGATGATGTCTGAGGACCAAATTCAAGTGATTTGGTGGATAGTGACTAGTAGTGGAATCCATGAGTCTCACCTCGCCCACTTTGGGACTCGTCAGTTAGACGCATCTGTATTCCGCAGTGACTGATGGTGACCCCACTGGGGCTCAATCCCAGTAATCGTAAGTTCAAACGCCAGAGCGCTACGCATTAAACCATTCGGGCCATGAGAGCTACCTACTGTGCAACGGGTGTCAGCAGTTATTCAATTGAATTTGGGAAAACTATGACTGTGTAGGGAATGCAAATACATCCAGTTGATGAGTCGTGACTAGGACGAAATGCTCGTCATGGATTCCCCTACTAGTCACTATCCATGAAGTATTTCTCAGAACTATCTACTTTACTGCGAACAAACTAAAAAATATATTTCCCATAGTTCCCTTTAATTGGTATTATATGACTAATCAAATATTTGGAGATATTAAATGCTTCAGATATTACTAATCTAACGAAAGTAATATATATATAAATGTTTGCAAGAATAATAAATTTATACATTCATACATGTAACATCAGAAAGAATAAATCTAATGGAAATTTTGTTCCCGTCGTATCTAATGTGAAGAAGAGAATCAACACTATCGCCTCAACAGGGCAACTGAAATGAAGAGAAATCAGGGAATGTCTATATCGGATATATGATTGATAAAAAAGAACATGAAATTAAGAATAAACATTCATGAATTAAATGATTTTGTATGAATAATGTTGGGGTGATCCTGTTAACTTATTATCAGAGTTGCTTTGGATTCCACTGTGTTATGTATGATCTATGTTGCCAGTTGAAATGAACTTGTCACCAATTGATATGATAGCGTCGACACCTGGTTTGACCATGTGGACTTATGCGTGTGAGTATTATAATACCGACACAATGAACAACTCAGCTGACCTGCTGGATGCACCTATTCGTCCGTGGCACCTTGCACTTCATTGGCCTCTGTGACTGTTAGTATGCAATTGTATTAGGGCAGCGTCCGTCATATTTATATATTTTTTATAAACACATTAAAATCCTCCAAGGGCAGAGGAAATGGATTGTTCTGATTCGTAGGCGATTCAGCTAACGTTGGCGACAAATTATTACTCTGATTGACTGGCGATTTGACCAAGATTAAGGTAAGAAAGGGATGATGACATTCGACAGTCAACCAATCACACGATGAATCCTATGATGATTTCTGTTTTAAGACGATTCCCGTGACCCTGCCTGATGTTATACATCCTTCGATTCGCTAACTATTACACAGAAGAAAACCTCATGCAATCGTCCACATGCCAACAGATTATGCAAACGCCGAGGGCTGTATAGTAGTCTTGCAGCTAATGAAGTGCTTGACTTAGGAGACTGCTTCGATTGACCGCTTTTGAGAAGTTTTCAATGAATTAACTAACTTGCGCATATAATTATTATACTCTTATTCGAAACGAAAACTGCGAATCTATGCGTCTCAGTGTTTTACTATTTCACATGATTTATCGCGATTTATTATCTGAAAATGCGTTGTATTTTGTGGCAATATGGACTGAAAAATGCATCATCATTAAAATGTGTGGAGCATGCCACTTTCATTTCATTCCATGGGTTTATTGAAAACATCTAGAGAACTTTCGCCAACTCATGCGTTTCCCTGTATTCCGTCTGGAGATTTATTACTTTGAATATTCATTAAGTAGTTACAAGAGCCATGCGTCTTGTCTATCTTTTGATGCAAAGTGAATTCTACCAGATAAGTTTGTATTGTGGTCATCAATTTAGGTGACTCACTATCGTGATTCACTCTGAAATGTTGATAGATAGTTGGAAACAGTCGGCAGGAAGCCACGGACCTCGGTTTCATGTTTGTTGGCACTCATCAAATGGACATTTCCGAAATCTTAGATTAGCTCACTCTGTACCTCAGATTCGAAGCCATGTGCTGCAGTTAGTGACGTTGCCAGTGAACCTTACTGATAAGTCACAATAAGTACGAAACCTAGATCCAATGTTTCTTGCCTATTTCCACCAGCCATCTGACTTCAATTCAGGGATTTATTAGGCTAAGTGAAGTTTTACAATCATGTTCAGTCGAAAACAAGACAAATTTGTGCTAAAACTTTTGAAAGATCTAACTTGAGTTACAGAGAGTGTGATGCTCTTTTCATTAGCCGTTTCTTTCATCGAAGTTAGACAGCTCTCAGATATGCATATCGTTCTCTGTCTTGTAAACGACTGAACACTTCACTTTCATCTATTTCCGTCTGACGTGATATCATGTTTAAAGTATAGTTTACAAATGATACTTAAACACCAACATCACTAAGCTTGAGACGTCAGTATCACAAATCAAGTGAATCTATGATCTGACAGAAAACATTAAAATCACTCTATAAAATAAAACATTAAAAGAGAAACATTCTGATATAGTAAATGCATTGGAGGGCAAATTCTCAGTACACAATGATGGATAGGAGGTAAATCGGCAGCGAAGTTGATTCCGTTTTTGGTCTGAAAAGTAAGCAGTTAGTTATTCTGGTCGACCTACATTTGTGTCATTGCAAGTGGTATGGGTGTTGTGATGATGGACATCAGAATAACGAATAATAATACCTGTAATTAGCGGGCAACTTCATCAAGGAGTTACGTTGGCTCACCTTTTTCATGTACTCATCCATAATTTTTTGAATTGTAACGTATATATTCAATGCTCTTCTAATACTCTTCTTATCTCCACTGACAATTCTATCAAATTCTGGAATGATGAATAAATTGATGTTCATTTTTGGAATAAAAGTGTATACTACTGATTGATTGTAGTGAGTAATCGCTTAACACTCATATCAACTAGCAGTGCTTGCTAGTTAGGTTGAGGTGATCAAACCACCGAAAAGCCGTTTTCCTCATTTAGGGCCATGCTCATCATCGGTGTATCCAGTTTGACTCATCTCATACAGCCGAATCAATTCAAACCACTGGATCTCCGAATGGCTACTTAGGCGAACTGGTGTTATCACAAGTCAAATTCACACTTTGGCATGACCAGTTCGCTGAAGTAGCTAGCCGGAGATCCGGTGGTTTGAAATGATTTGGCTCTGTAAGATGAGTCAAACTGGGTATACCTCTGATGAGCTCAGCCTGAAAATGAGCGATACAGCTGTTCTGTATTTTAGGATCACTTCGAAGTGGCTACAAAGCAATATTTACTCATGCGAGAGATCAACATCTACTAATCTCAGCAGATATGCTTGTTATCTTGCTGATCATCTATGGGGTCAAACAGATCAAGGACTGTGGTGATCTGACTAACTTGATTTCCAAAGGAAACTACAGTGAAATTTCACCTCTTGAACTGTGTAGATAGCAAATTGCAAACCAATCTGACATTTGTGAATTTGATTTCTAATGAAAGTGAATGTAAGCCTCAATAGAAGTACTGGTAATCATGAGAATTCAAACTTGTGGAGAAGAAAATATTTCCAATATTTTCTCCAATATCTTTGATTTGACACTAGTTAGTAACTAGTGTGATGTGTCTAGTCCTATCTTTGGTGCAGACTGATTTCTATCAGTCAGTCAGGTGTGTAATGTGGCCACCATTCTAGGTAGCTCGCCAACATGGTGCACACTGATTTGATGATATTAGATGGTTAGAATTCAGTCTGCACCACAGAGAGGACTAGACACTTCACACTAGTTACTACTCTCCATTCAAATTATCCCCTACAGTCCTACAGGAGGTCAATCGCGAGTCAGGCCGAATAACTCAGTGGTAACGTCTCTGACTGCAGCTCCCACTGGGTGAAGCAGTTTCGAATCTCAGAAGGGATGTGAGTTCCTTCAAGGCTCCAAGGCTTCCTTCCGATTCCCTCCAACTATCTCATTCTCCAAAATTATCAGTAAATAAACTAAACAACATTGAAGAAGAAGTTTTGGTCATTTCAGTGGAATATAGTTCCATATAAGGCAAGTACACCTGATATAACCACAGAGTGATACAGTAATGTTAACTGTATGATGCATTCATTCCGCTTTAATCTCAGCATACCTCTCAGTTCTTCAAGGACATAAATTCAATAGTAGGTGAATTTCAGTTTACTTTCAACTCAGAAAATCAACAGAGTGAGTTATCTATCCCAAACTGGCTAGTTAGATACCAGCATCTATAAGAAACTGTCACCTTCTCATAGATGCGAAGACTTTGAATCAGGGCAGTGAAAATTGATAAAGGCAGGTTTATTTAAGTTTTTATGCAGTCATACCAGAAGCCTAAACTACAAATCAGGGAATTTAAATGAATAAGTAACTTCACACTGAATTTTACTCAAAAGAAAAATAAAATTAGAAATGAAAATGGTGAAAAAATAAATAAGGGGTAATACATCTGCCATATTTTAAAATAGTTTTTTACTCCTTTACGTTCACAGTGGAACATGGGGCTTCAAGCTAGAGGCTTGAAGTTTCTGTAGCAGTTGTGGTTATTTTTACAGGATGGGGTTTCTAGCCTCATGCCTAACCATCCCTTTCTGATAGTCTTAATACTGGCTTAGTGAGGTAAAGGAGTTCATCGGCCGAAGATCGATCCCCGGACCAACTCTATGATTGGTGAGCACTCTACCACTGTGCCACCGACGCACACATTTGCCATATAAAGAAGGAATATCAGATACTCTGTGTAAAATTCTCAACAACACTGGAAATGAGGCGGCATTTAAATCAACGAGCCCACTCAGAAACAAATTTTGTCAGCCTAATGGCTCTTAAGATTTAGTTAGTAAGCAAAGTATAATTTACTAAACTGGTGTCAGGCCAATTCCTGGAACACAAGAGTTTTCAAGTGGTATTTTCAAATGGTCTAAATACATATTTTATGACTGTCAACACCCTCTCTATTCACAACTCTTCCTGACTTGCGTCTCATCAGACAAGACTAGAAGTCATCATAAAAAAGATTATATGGTCGTACAACCAAGTAAAGAAACTCAACGATACCATATTTAACATGCGTCCTATGAGATAGCGATAATGTTAAGAGCGAAACCTACGACTTATTATGTTATTAGCCAAAATAGTTGGCTCTTTCATCCTCTCGTATTTGTAATCAGTGGTGAGACTGTTTCAATTCACTTATTATGTAGCTGTTAATCATTACTAATATCATTATTTCACGCCTTTTGTACAAATACATCACACCATATTTTTGAGATAATCTCCATCTTCTAATAGAACTATCCAAACTTATTAAAGGGATTTGCTGTTATTATTCATTTTGATACGTTGGCTTTCCAAATGGAACATAGAGCTTCAGGCTTTTAAGTCTGGGTGGCAGTGATGTTTATTTTTTCTTTTTATTTGATGAGGTTGCTAGGCATACTCCCAACCATCTCTCTTTGCTGGGATTATCAATGGTTAAGCAAGGCTGAGGAGTGCATTGACAGGGAATCGAACCCAGGACCACTTGCATGGTTGCTGAATGAGTATTCCCTCACTGAACCACTGACGTACTAAACGAATTAGTTATTCTGAATTTAACACAGCGAATGAAGCAACAAGAAACATAACAGCAGAGAAATAAATATACACTATGGATAAAACGCAAGAAACCATGAGGTATAAGACGAATTGAGTATATTTACAAACGCATGAGGAGCAATAATTATACAAAGATACGCTTACCTGATTTAATTTCTATGGTAGCATCAAAATCATGTTGATTCCAGTGTATTTATAGCTTATCTGATCTGTGTTGTGCTGCATACTTATGTGAGTAAAGTACGCATCTCACAAAGTTGTTCTGTTAAATGGAGAAGAAAAAGCGTGTGATGAATAGACTTTAGTCATCGTGTATGAAAATTAATTTGTTGATGTTATGAATGCGAAGGAAAAAAAATAAAAGACCTTTATACTGTTATTTTTCTCAGTCTGTTTTCAATAATTAAATATTATAAAATATTTAATTTATTCCTTGAGATCAAAGTGGAACACTGGTCTTCACGAGCATATTTCCATTGTGCTCATGATTTAGTTCAAGTCACTCTTAGATGTCCAATTTGTCGCTTCCCACTTGACTTTTTTATTCAAGGGATTTTTATTTTGGTGTTAGTTCAATGTCACTAAGTGTGCTCCAGTGGTCCAGAGATAGAATGCTCACCGAATATCAATGTGGTTAAACTTCCAGACGAAGCACTTCTAAGCCAGTCTTTACTCTGTAGTAGGCCTAGTAAAGAGGAAAGTTTGGGCTTGAGACAAGCAGCCCGAACCCATGCTATTTATGTCTGTTATATCTTTTTCCACAGGAAATCACAATTGCTTTATGAACTTTGAGGTGATCAGAAACGATATCTGATCCCTGACCTATGATTTATTTAGGTGTTTTCTGGAGATAGTAATCCTCAGAGTAGCAGAGTAAAATTTCTTCTTCAGGCACTTGGAAAGACGATTTTTGAGGATTTCAGCCTAGACATAATCTCTGAAATCTAAGTTCATGAAGAGAGATTTCCTAGCCACAGTTAGACCCAGTGGCAGTGGCAATTTTCCCCATGTTTGAGTTAATAAATCTATGTGGATATCCATTTTGTAATAAAGTGTCAAGAAGAGGTTCCAGCACAGTCTTTACTGTATGTTTCGACCAGACCATTCAAATCTTCCGGCTCAGAGAATGTACTAATTCTTGTTTTGAGACTGGTGGGATGTAGATCTACTGTAAAGACAGAAGACAAGTGCCAAGAAACAGATCGTTTATTCAGAAAATCAACAGATATTTATAGATTTTTATGTACACTATTGCCAGTGGAGAAGCAACGCCTTCTGGTTGGTTGTCTTCTTGCTGAAGGTTATTCTCCTTTTGTGACCGTTTCTCAAAATACCAAACTATATGTCTGTGAATCATATTTATACACTATAACTCGACTGTGATTTCCACCTTCTTGAAAGTGCTTTGTCTGAATGAATGCTCCAATATCAATTTACGAGTCTCTTTATTTATCAGATTCGGGCGGGTAATTCCACTTGGAAATTGTCGAACTGTATTCTTTGTTGACAATTAGTTGTGTGAGTAGATGGCCGCTACAGCTGATTGACAAATAACGTAGCTTGTCAGCAGATAGTGTCGTATTATACTGACAGTCAAGTAGCATAGGAAATGATAGAAGGATTATTGATCTCATTTGGAGTTAGAAATGTAAGCTGTGCATGCTAAGTGAAAGTGTTTTACCGTTTAAATAAGTCTCACGCTTTGATTCTGGGTACACCTACCTCTCAGATTTATTCTGTATCTTCCTTCCTTATTATTTACCAATGAACACATTTGAATTACTTCAATAATTTTGAACTTGTTCCCATTCAACCTTGTCTTGAATATCAACCAGTCCTCAGGTTGGGACTTAAGGAAACCTGGATCTGTGAAAGCTACTGAGAATTCAAAGCAGAGAAGAAATAACTTAATTCTTCACTGGAATTAGGGAAACTTCTGAATTCGAAGATGGATATCTTCAAACATTGTAAGCCTTCATGAGAATATACCAAGTACACTTTGCTCATTATTTTCCTGTAACGATCAGATATCTCATGATTGTTCCCCTCAAAGATTTACTTTCTCTTAATTCCAAACTCTTCTGTATGTGTTCAGAAAAATCTAAGATAGTGCCTTCTCTCTGTACTTCCAATATATCTACTTCAAAAGATAGACGTAGACTGAGCAGAGCAAACATGAGACATCTGACTGACACAAAATATCAAGCAGATATCGTGAAGTGCTCATTATCCTCAGATCGTTTTCCTGATCCAAGATTACAAACAATAATCTTTACACCAATGGCTCAATAAATGTGTCCTCGCAAGGAATTCTGTGTATCTGGAATTGCCTGATATGCTAGGCGTGTCGCTGAAAGACTTCAGAGGAGCCAGATCATTATGTGCAATAAACCACACAATATGAGAAGGCTTCATGTGATATTCTGCCCTTGATTCGATATGATAATAATAATCACTTTATTCCACAACAATAATAATTTACAGCATGGAATTTTCAGCGTGTCATTTTGCATTGGTTTGGCTCTTTTTATAATTATATAAATGTATGAAATGTTAAAAATATTGATAACTAATAGGAAAAAATAAAATCCCCAACAAAATCACACCATTTCTAGGTCATAGTGCGATAATAAATAAATAATATAACAAATCACACATGCAATAATATGCATCATTACATTTTATAGTTTAGTTAATGATTTAAAATGTGTAAAAGTTCTTTTCTGATATTCGTCTCTTCACACAATACTCGTGCCAAATATGGTACGGTCAAATTTTTATATTTTGTAGTACGAGCATAAATGTTTATGAAATTTCTTCTGGTCTTACCCGAAGACAGCTAAGCACACTAAACTCACCACGCTCATTTTTATCGAGTTGTATAAGCAATAGCACAGCACAGTTTACAACATATACTACTATTGTCACAAATAGTAGTGCCTTCTATGCTATGGCAACAACTGAACTTTATATTTTTAAGCTACACACATACGGCACAATATATCAAACAATATTAACCAAGCAATCCCAACCTCGTATGTGTGCTTCTCTCTTGTTGAGGATCCATCATGAACAAATTACTGTATGAGACACAGTTACTGAAAACAAAGGAGGTAGTTCAGCGATAGTGATACACGTTCCCTTTATTTCACTGTCTTCAATATCCTTATTTTTCACCTGCTGCTCAACTGGTTTCTGGTGAGCATTTATACCGAATGAAATGTGTTCAGAGTACTGGTATTAATATTTTTATCAATAATTTCATCGATTATTTTATCTGGTCTACTACTGTATAATTTCTTGTTGCTTCAAATCATGGAAAGTACGCAGCACAAAATGTGCGAGGATGGAATGAGAACTCAAACCAAGTTCACTTATAACAGTTTGAAAAAGTCTGTGCGTTGGGTATATGATATTCAGTATTATAAACATTTTTGTATTTAGAACAACAGATTTAAGCGAACAATATTTTGCCTTCAACTAAACCTCATCAGGCTTAACTTTAATATACATAATTTTACAAATAAAAATTCAGTTTTGTCTACATAAATTTTGCTATTAGTCATAATAATAGTAATGATAACAATGACAATAATGGTTCTGCCATTAACAAGGGTGGAAAAGTGAGGTGATCTGAGACAACAAGAGTAACGAAAAGCAGCATGATTAAACAAACAAATATTCAGGTAGACGTGGTAGTCAATGAAGGCTAAGAAAAACAAATGAACCGATTGCGTAATGCTAGATTGTAAGAGAAGTAAATAAAACACGTTTTTAATGAAGATGTGATACGATTAAGGGATGATAACAGAGGGGTTAAAATATAAGTAAGGGGTGGTGAAGACGTCATCAGTTGGTTATGTCTTTCTAATCCAAAGGAAGGGATAATCGCTGTACAAGCCTCTTTTGAATGCATAGTTTAGGTTTAATAGTTAAAAATGCCTATCGCCTCAGCTGTGTGCAGTAGACGAAAAGATTCGGTGGGATACGACGAGTTACTTTGAAAGCTCTCGTTTTCTCCACTACATGACCACTATCAATTACATGTGATAAAATTAGGCTACGGATTTTTTTGTCTGTCCTTTGCCAAACCACCACGATGGGATATGTTCACTAACACGTTGGCTAAGCTGTCTAGTAGTACGCCCAACATAACTGTCACCTCAGATGCAGTTGAATTGATAAATCTACATAGATGCGGTGAAACTATCTAGATTATCCTTCGATATCGTCCCAATCATTCGTCGACCAGAGAATGGCAATCATGGGCTTTCTGTGTAGAAATGTCTTTCTAACCTCCTGGAAAGTCTCTGGAACAAAATCTCACTTGACAAGTGACTTTTGTATTTTCCAACGACTTTCCACTATTTATTACTAATATTGTATTATTAAACCAGAAATTACAAAATCTCAGCTTATATATAACAACTTAATCATCGTTCCTCAGCATGGAGTCACTTTTGAGTTGTCAAGTTGTCCAGTCGGTGAAGATAACAAAATCAGGTGAAGATTGTTGAATATGATAAGTATATAAAGCTTTAAAAGCAGCGTGTGTTTGCTTAATGAAATCGCTCATCACGTTTGTGTTGATTTTGTCACTACATGAAGGGATATGTTGTTGCGACCAGGTCAAATTCTGTTTTGGTCCATAATTCGTATTCAGGCAATTTGGATTCCATTTGATATGAAAGGTTTCTGATGATATGAAACGTTGTTTGTGATTCCTGAAACTTTTTCAGATTATTTCAATACAGTCAGGATCATTTTTGTGATCTGGTTCTACAACATTGCTTTTAAGCTTTTCTAGTTCACAACTGGATTTCTCGGCGGTCGAACAGATGCTCTACGGAGTTCATTTCTTTTGACTACCTTGATTTCTCTCTGGCGATGCTTCTCTGATGTATATCGCTTCATATTCCACGCAAGCATTTCATTTTTATTGACACAATTAGATTGAAAATCCTTAAGGACTACGTGTTTTCCATAGACAAGGTTGCCTTGCAGTGTGTCTGACGTTTTGAAGAAAACTTTTTCTGATGATTGGAGTGGCACATTTAGTTAAGTGGCTGTCACTGATGAAAATGTAACCACGCCTAATCCATGAATACATCCAGTAAACATTCTGTCACTCATGTTTTATTTTGCATTAAATGAAAAACAATCTTTTATAACCAGCTAATGTGATGGAAAACACTTTTAATGATGAAGCTTATAATAAATATCACATGGCTAAGAATTTTAAAGTCTCATTAGTTTACTCAAGTG